GAGGAATGCTAATAATCAAAGGAAAACAGCCAGCACTCTGGGAGGTGGAAGCAGGAAAATCACAAGTCTGAGTCCAACTCTGGGTCACTTAGTGATCCAGCAAGAGCCGCCTCAAAATTTTTAAAAATGGGGAGCAGATGTAGCTAAGTGCCAAACTCCTGGGTTGAACCCCAGATTTGAAAAAAGAGGGAGAAAGAACAAGGCCCCCTGTGGAGTTGCTTTGCCTACATCCCCCAAAAATAGAGTATCGGGGAACTCACTGGGCTTCAGGACTGCCTGGGTCAATGGGGACAGCATAAATACTCCTGCTCTCTCCTTCCTGATAGGGACAGTTCTGTGCTCATGCTCTCAAGAACTTTCCTCCTTGAGACTGAGATCACATATCCTTGATTAGTCTCCTTCCCTTCCCTGTCACATTTTCCAGTTGATGTTTCTTAAGAACTGTTCATAAAAACTACTTCTATAGCAAAATTTGTCTGAGAATCCTACCCTGTCAGGAGGAGGGCGCAGGGTAAAGACACCTGTGCTCTCTGTCTGTTCTGTCTTTTCCTCTCTTCACCAAGCCTGTCTCCTACACTGGAAGGGCCCTCCATCCTTCCTTACTGTCTAGCAACTGCTCTTACCAAAATAGATGGGGACCTTGGATCATTATTCAAAAATCATTCAATACACTGCACCATATAAACAGGTTAAAGAAGAAAAGAATCACATGAACACAACAACTGATGCAGCAAAAGTTGTTTCACAAAATTCAAACCACCCATTCATGCAAAAAGTTCTCAGAAAAATGAAGAGAAAAGAACTTCCTCCATTTGGCAAAGAACATATGTAACAACCTTTGCCTAGAATCACGCTTAATGTAAAAGGCTAAAAACTTCCTCTTACAATCAGGAGAAAAAAGCAAGAATGTTGATTTTTACCATTCTTGTTTAACATCATGCTAAAACATTGGTGAGGAACCCAGCAGGCATGCTACAGCATTGGCCATCATTGAAAGCTCTAAAAGGTTCTCCATCACTGTAGAAATTTTAGCCAGAAGAGTAGAAAGGAAAAGAAATTAAATGGCATATGGATTGGAATAAAACTAAAACTGTCTCTATTTGTGTGGGATATGATCTATATAGACAATTCTAAAGGATCAACCAAATAATTCTAGATCTACTGCGTTGAGCAAGTTATGGGATCCAAGATCAGTGTACAAAACTGTGCATTTATATGGCAGCAACAGACATGAAAAACAAAATTAAGAATATACTGCCACTTATAATTGTGCAAAGTTAAATACTTGAGTTGAATTCTAACAAAATGTACATAGAGCTTATATGCTAAAAATGATAAAATCCTCATGAAATAAAGATCTAAAAAAATGGACAATCTATGTGCATGGATTGAGTCAGCATACTAATGAGTCAGTTTTCTAAACTGCTATAAAGGTGTATCATAACTTGTACCAAAATCCCAACAAGATTTTTAGCAGCTATAGACAAGAGCATTGTAAAATGTTATGGAAAGTAAAGAGATCTAAAATAGTTAAAACAATTCTGAAAAAGCAGACAATTTCAAGGCTTATCTCACAATAGTAATCAAGGCTATGTATAATTTGAGAAAGAATAGACACCTAGATAGATGCAGCAGACACACAGACGAATCCAAAGGAACTCAACCTAATACAGGCAAGTGTATTTTAACAAAAGTAAAAAAAAAAAAGCAATTCAAAGGAACTTGGGGGAAGAAGAGTCTTCTCAACAAACGGTGTTGGAACAACTGAATACTCATAGACAAAAAAAAGGGAAAAGAAACTGACCTAACCACCCTATATATAAAAATTACCTCAAAGTGGATCGTAGATTTAAATATAAACCATAAAAATACAAAACTGCAAGAAGATAACATAGAAAATCCTCAGAAAGTAGGGCATAATGAAGGGTCCTTAAGTCATGATATCAAAAGCATGAGCCATTAAAAAATCGATAAGCTGGAGCTAATCTAAATTACAAACTGCTGTTCTGTGAAAGACTCAAGCAGAAAAAAAGACAAGATGATACAGACTGATGATATATTTGCAAACCATATGTATTTTACAGAGGACTCAGATCTAGATATATAAAGAATTTCCAGAATTCTGCCTAAGTGAAGAAACAAACAATTTAATCAAAAAATGGGCAAAAGACACAAGGAGATATTTTACTGATCATGATATACAGATAGTAAATAAGCACATGAAAAGATGTTTAACATCATTAACCATTAGAGAAACGAAAATTAAAATGACAAGGAGATATCACTTTGTACCTACCAGGACAACTAAGACAAAAAATAGCAGCAGTACCAAACAGTAGCCAGCATGCAGATCAATTCCAGTATTCCGGCATCATTGGTGGGGGCATACAAATCAGACAGCCACTTTGGGAAACAGTTTGGCAGTTTCATAAAAACTAAATAGGCCCCTATCACACAACCCACAAGTTACACCTGATAGATATTTATACCAGAGAAATAAAAAAGTTATGTTCACACACAAAAAAACACACAATTGTTTATCAAAGCTTCTTTTATAATAGCCAAAAATTGGTAACCAAAATATCCCTCCACAGGCAAATGATTAAAACTATGGTACATCCATCCAAAGGAGTATCTCTCAGTGATTTCTTAAAATGTGCAAATTATCAATATAAACAGCTTGGATGGGTCCCGCAGAACATTATGCTGAGTTTAAAAAGCCAATTTTGAAGGTCACATATTTTCTGATTCACTTATACAGCATTATCAAAATGACAAAATTATAGAGCTGGGGAACAGATTAAGTGATTGCTGGGAATCATAGATGGCGGGAGACACATAAGCACCATTTTTGAAGTGATGAGGCAGTGGTGTATATTGCTATGATGGTTACAAAAATCTGTCCATGTAACAAATGACATAAAACCACATACACTGGTACCACTAATGTCAAATTCTAGCTCTTAATAATGCACTATCCTTATGTAAGATATACGTGTCTGGGGAAACCAGGTAGAATATATGAAACTTTTCTAACATCTTTGCAACTTCTGGTGAATCTATAACTACTTCAGAATAAGAAAAAAATGTGAGACTCTGAATGAGGCCATCAGAATTATATGAGGCAATTATTAAAATGTATGTTTTCTTAAGTCCATTCTAAACATACCAATCTAGATTTTTTTGCGTTTTTAATAAAGTAGAAAATTCACCATCTTAACCATTCGAAAGTGCGTAATTCAAGTGTTAACTCCACTCACATTGTGCAGATAAAGTCCAGCAAACTCTATACCCATTAAGTGATAACTTTCCACTCCCTCCACCCCTGGCTTCTTCCCAGCTGGAAATCTTCTTAGACTGACTCACGGATTGGGAACTTGGCAGGTTCCATATGTAGATAAGCAGGAGTGACTCCTAACAATGATAACCCGACCTAATGCACCAGGTACCGCTGGGCGAGCTGCGTCAGTCTTTCCACCTCCTTTCTCACTCCATTCCCGAATGACCCTAAAAGTGGACAGTTCTCACCTATGTTCCATGAAGGAGGCAACGACTCCGAAAGCAAAGACACTGGCGCAATTCACACAGCCTGTTGGGCCTCCCCAATTTACATTGACACATTCCAAGTTCTTTGAGACCTTCGCTTTGAATCTGACTACAGATGTCTTTCCCTTGCAGTTTCAGAACCCGAGACCCCTCCCACCACGCCACAGTTCCGGAGCTCTATTCTGAAATGTGATTTCTCGGTAGTGCTAGGGTTGGCTGGTACAACAGAAAAATGCAAGGTACTTTGCTTTCCCATGTGCGCTACCTTGTCTGGGTCATAGTCCCACTAAGGTAAGAAGGAAGAGATGGGCGAACAAAAGATTTACTGACCAACAGCAGAGAACTGTCAGATATGTATGCAAGTTCCCATTTTTTGCAGATCTTACACCCCTTAGATACATTTCAAAAGGTTCTCAGTGTGCTTAAGTTGGGTAACACATACTAATAAGAAATTCCAAACTATATTTCAAGAACTGATGCAATTTTGAAAGAGAAAACCTAAGCATGTGATCCTGAAAAACAAAAGTTACCAGTTACGCGCTTTTAAAAGCAGTGCACTAACTGTACTTAAAAACCTTGAAATTTAAGGGGGAAAGTGCACGGGGTGGTTTACGGAGTAATTTAGTGCCCCCCCCCGAACATCTGAGAACATCTTCTGTAATACTAAAGGGTAAAGTACATGCAGTTGTGTAAACCACAAATTCTCCATACACTACTGCTGGAAGAAAAGGGCAGCTGGTTTAAAACAACCCTGACCCCCACAACTTTCTGTTATCTTCCATATAGGCCACTTCCTCATTACCCCCGGATGTCAGCAGACCGTCACAGGTGGAAACAGGCAGCGCTTGATCTGGGACTGGAAATACTTCCAGGAGACGATACCTCAAACGAGTGTGGAAAGAACACGCCTGCATTACCCGGGCTTGCAAACTCAGAGGGTAGCTCTTCTGACAACGCGCCCTACCTTTTCTTTTTCTGTGGGCAAAGAAATTCCTGAAGGGCCCGCTCGGACGCGCTGCAAAGATTGAAGGGCAGTGCGGAGCGGCCAAAGGAGACGTGGGCCCCAGAGGAGCGCGAGAGAGGATGAATGAAAGGTGACTCCGAAGTTTTGAAGAGCCTTAGCAAAACCCGAAGGCGCGTTACACCGCTAGTGCTGGAAGCACCGAGCTGTGAGCAGAGGGTGCGGACATTCGGGGCTAGAGAACCAAAGGACGACTCGCGAGGGGGCAGCATCCTCGCCTCGAAGGCGTCCCGACAGGGATGCACAGGACAAATCAGGTAGAGGAGGGGCCGCGGGCTCCAAGCCTTTATTCCCAGTGAAGCTTCTGGAGGGAAAAGCGAGAAGGCGGCGGCTGGAAGAAAGCACCGAAAGGGGCAGCGACGTGGCCAGCGTGGGCCGCTGGACCGCAGCCGCCCCGGGACGCGGGAGAAGGCGCCCGGCCCGCAGCGCCTACCTGCGCTCTCCCTGGTCCACGTAGACGTTGAAGAAGAGCCCCTCCCTGATCTCCTGGTACGCGGGACCCGCGAAGCTGAGCTGCAGCTCGTAGAGGCTCCCGGGCCGCAGCGCCTGCCCGAGCTCCAGCACCATGTACTGCATGTCCTCCGCGAACCACATGTCGCGCACCGGCACGCGGCCCGCGGCGCCCCGAGCGCCCGGAGACAGGGGCCCCCGCACCGCGGGGCGCTCGTGCTGCAGGAAGAGGCTGTGCAGCAGCAGCCGCGCCGTGGCCGCCACGCAGCGCACCGTGATGTTCGCGCGGCCGGAGAAGCGCAGGCTGTGCGCGGGGAGCTCGTCCGGCCGCAGGCGCGGCCACAGCTCCAGGTCGTAGTGCAGCGGCTCGAGCCAGGGCGGCAGGCGCAGCTGGTCCCAGGGCCCAGGGGGCCGCCGG